TGGAATAGTTTGCAGGATTGGTATTATGTCTTTTTTAAATATTTGTTGGATTTTGCCAGTGAATTCTAGGAACTCTCATTGTAGAAAAGTTTTTAACAAATTCCGATTATTTAATAGACAGGCTATTTAGGGCATCTATTTCTTCTTAAATAAGCTTTGGTAGTAAGTTTCTTTTATGGAATTTATATATTTCACCTTAGCTATTGAATTTATAGACATAAAGTTGTTAATAACATTCCCTTATACTTTTAACATCGGTAGGAACTGTAGTGGTACCCTGTCTCCAATTCTTGATATTGGTAATTTCTGCTATTTCCTGATTTCTCTTAGAATTAATTGATAGAGGTTATATTTCCATCTTATGTCCTATATTGGCTCATTATACATACCTGTTTGGTACTTTTATTTTGTTTTTTTCATCACATTAGGATTTATAGTATACATCTTTAATTTACCACAGTCTATCTTCAGGTAATAACAAAACTTTAGCATAGCATAAAAGCCTTACAGTAACTTCCATTTTCATTTACTAAATTAATGAAACAGGAGGAGTAGAAGAATAGGCTCTGAAAGTTAAAATATCTATCAAAAAACAGACAGAATCTTCCATTACCTCGGCATCGTGACAGTATGAAGTTGGGGATAGTGAAGAAGAATTCCAAGAGACTAGAGATTCTGGGTATATGCGAGCCCCTTTGTTTTTACAAAAATCAAAAACGCGTTTACATTCATATGTCCATATAACCAAATGGTGCCTGTAAGTGAAGCTGCAGATGAGGTGGTGGGGAAAGCTCATCCCAGGATGCGAGAGGCCTCTGGAGAGGAGCATGCAGAGTCCAGCCCACACAAAGCTGGTAACTGCCTCTTACAACAAAGACGGAAGTTTAAGCTGCTTGGCCACTTCCACACAACATTCAACTAGCAGTGAAGTGGAAACAACTCTGACCTGAAAATTACAACATCAGCATTACATTGTGGGCTTTGACACTACCAGGACAGTAATTTCTTTCAGCTTCAGTTTTCGAATTTAAGTCAAAGGAGGATGATGAGAGTAGCAGACTGAATATGGGTTATAAAAGTTTTCTATAAATCATGAAGTATTGTATGACACAAACATTATGCTATATAACATCAGCTATTTATTTAAATGAAAAATGCAAATTATTCAGCTTTTACAATTATCATTTGTTAAAATAATTTGGGTATCACTTTACTAAGCAATGATTTGCATGAAAACAATGAAAAGGTGCCTTTAAAAAAAAGAAAGGGTCCCCGACCATTTTATATGAATACGCATCTTTTCTTTTCCCTCAAAGCCTTAATGATTAATGGTGGAGGTAGTCATAAATGTTGACAAGGTCGATAGACAGAAAGGTGATGTGGGATTTTGTATAGGAATTCTGACTATAGTACAGTATTTCTCAAATTTAGCATGCATCAGGAACCATCTCAAGAGCCTGATAAGCACAGATTGCAGGGAAACACTATAAGAGTTTATGATTCAATAGTCTCGAGAAGGTGGTGGTGCAAAAATTCATACTTCTGGCAAGTTCTCGTGTGATGCTACTGGTCTGGAGACCATACTTTGAGAATCACTACTATGGAGAAGGCCATGATAGAGAAAGGATAGGAAAAACCACTCCCGCAGAGGAGATCTCAGCTGCTAGCCATCCTGAAATGATATAATAGAGTTTTGTATGCATCTCTATATATATAGACATATTTTAAGAGAGTGCATCTCTTTCATTCAATTTTTTAAGGCATCAGTTATCAAAAAAAATGGTTAAAAACTAGTTTTTGGGAAATTTATTTTTTAAAAAATGTAGGCTCCACTAGTGTTTTTGCTATATTGTTGAGGGACCCCCCGGTTTAAAAAATTAAGCCCTTTATAATAAAGTTGAAAAACATTAAAAGTCATTTAGGGTTACCAACTAGTATGCTAGAATAAATTGAATTGTATAGGCAATACACAAAACGGATTCAATTAAAATAATGCTTAAATAAAATACAGCCTCTTAATTTCTACTAAAATGATAAATTCTCTTAGTGATTATTCAGCAAGATAAAGCAACTTGGCATTGTACCCTTTCCATTTTTGTAGTATCCTTTAAATTAGGTTTTAAAGTCTATGTCCTAACATGTAAAAGAATAGCTATTTTATAATATTGTTTTCTTGACAAATAAAGTATAAGTATTGTGTATTTTTACAAAAAAATTTCATCAGAACACCAGAAACTATCAAGGAAATAAGAGTCATAATTGTCTGTAGGAAAATTCCTACTCCAATCATGTCAGAGATAGTAAATGTCAAATACTAAACTATTAACAGTTCCTAAATTACATCAAATCATATCACATAACATAACTTGCCACATTCAAAAGGTAACAATAATGAACACAACTAACATTTATAGGGTGCTTTCTATGTGCCAAGCACTTTATCCATGACTTAATTCTCACAGTCGTCCCATGAGGTAGATATCATTATTATTCTTATTTTACAAATGGGAAAAGCAAAGTTTAGAGACGTTTAGGTAACCTGCCCAAGGTTACAAAGTCACTATGTGGTAGAATAGGATTCAAACAGACATATTCCAGAGGCCACATTCTTAGCCATTTTGTTGTATTATTTCTACACATTAAATATCCTTATTGACTACAGCATTTAATCCAAACTTCTTTCTGTGGTTTTAAAGACCTCAAATCTGATACAATCTTAATTTTTGCATGCATTGCTGTGTACCAGTCCTACTGGACTGACTGTTCTCTTCTACATAAGACATGTTCTTATATAATCATTATTCCCCTTCCTTTCTTTTTTTTTTTTGAGTTGGAGTCTCACTCTGTCACCCAGACTGGAGTGCAGTGGCCGCTCCTGGCCACCGCAGCCTCACCCTGCTGGGCTCCGGCGATCCTTCCGCCTCAGCCTTCCAAGTAGCCGGAACTACAGGCACGCGCTACCACGCCTGGCTCATTTTTGATTTAGTATAGAGATGAGTTCTCGCCAAGTTGCCCAGGCGGGTCTCAAACCCATGGGCTCAGGCAATCCACTCACCTCAGCCTCCCAAAGCCTCGGGATTACAGGCTGAGCCACCAAGCCTGGCTCCCCTTCCGTTTTTAATTAAACAGCAAATAGTCTAGATCATATATTTTTCCTTGTACAGCATATAGTTGAATTTTAAAGAAATGTAGTCTCAAGAATATTTATCTTTTGATAAACTATTTACATTTATTATGTTATCTAGATCCTCCAAAATTCATATCCCTCTTTGCTGTGTGACTCTGGTTATTTAACATCCTTCTGCCTCTGATTCATCAAATGGAGATGATGGAATTACCACTCATACTGTTATTGTATAGTGGTGATTAAATGAGTTAATTAATGTAAAGTTCTTAAAATCCTTTCCAATTGGTTCCTTCACTGTGCCAAAAATCTTTCATGACTGACAATATATCTACTCTAAATTAAAAACAAATTAGTTGCAATCTGTGGTACAAATAAAAACGACAGTATTTTGATCATGACAGTTGGTTAACAGAGAGCAATCTATGTACAAAGGAACAACAACGCAAAGCAGACTCTCTCAAGGTAAAGGAAAAAGGCAGGTGAGGACACTGCAGTAGGTTTCTTTGCATAGGTGGAAAAGCATGAGTTTTTTTTATGTTAGTGACTCATGTAGCAAGTTCTAGGAAAGCTAGCTTTTTATATTTAAGCAAAGAGGACTTTTAGGTTAGCTATCAGAGATTTTCCCATATTGAGAGTAAAAAGCAAGGGGGAAAAACTCTTAATTTTTATGGTGCTCTAGTGAAGCATTTTCCAGATACCAAGTTATGTAAAGTTCATATTCTCCAAATAGCTGAAATAATCTGCAGGACATCTTCTAATTTTTGTTTCTATCTAATAAATCTAAAATACACGAATTTTTACTACCATTTAAAATGATCCAATTATTTGGCAGGAGAAGTGTTGATTTCCACTTCTTCTTCTTCTTCTTCTTTTTTTTTTAAAGGAAAAGTTTACTTAAAAGTAAATGAGAGAAAGAGAAGGGAGAGAGAAGATTCACCTCCCCAAGGGGGGGAAGGGGCCAAAGCCTCCACTTCTTCTAAAAGTACCCTGTTTTCCCACTGGGTAGCCATCCTTCCTTACTCTTAGTACAAGTGGTACAGATGGAGACGAACCCATATCCAGATCCTGGGATAGGTTTTTGGCAGAAGCCCCAGTCAGTGAGAGTTTTACACACCCTGCCCACAGAACTAGTGTGAAAATAGGCACAATGGCTGGGTTTGGTGGCTCAGCCTGTAATCCCATCATTTTGGGAGACGGAGGCAAGTGGATTGCCTGAGCCCGCCAGTTCAAGACCAGAACTTGGCGAGACCTCGTCTCTACAATAAATCAAAAAATAAGCTGGGCATGGTAGTGCGCCCCTGTAGTTGGAAGGCTGAGGCAGAAGGATCGCCTGAGCCCAGTGGGTCGAGGCTACGGTGGCCATGAGTGTACCATTGCATTCCAGCCTGGGCAACAGAGTGAGATTCCAACTCAAAAAAAAAGGAAAAGAAAAGAAAATAGGCACAACACATCAGCCAACTGGTTTCAATCAAAGCAAATCCCAAGTTTTTGTGTGCATTACTGGGAAATAGGTGCTCTTTTTGTTGGACTTGGAGCTCAGGGGATATAAACTTGGGCTAGTAAGGTACCACCATGTTTAAAGGGCCTGCCCCAAAGTGAAATCAACATGGATTTCATTATATACACAATGACCAGACAGCTAAATAGATAAAATAAACTGAGACCTTAATGACAATTTTAAGTACCTGCCTCCAAGCAAAGTAATATTAGCTACCACGCTGGATTCTTCAGTTACACCTGCCAATTAATTCCCACATGGCTTAAGCTAGTTGGACTTGGGTTTTCTGTTAATATTAGCTATAAGCTTCCTGAAAAAAATATGCATGATGGACGAGCTACTTCTCACAATGAAATAAAAAGAGAACTGGCTTACCTTTTGGTTTAATAAAGCACTTGCCAATTTTTGTACTTCTGAGCTCAGTAAGGTAGTTCCTCTGATGACTTTGCTGAGAGCAGCAAGAGACTGATGAACACTTTGCACTAAGCGAATGGCATTAAATTGTTCAAGAATAATGAATGATAATATTGGAGATCCTTGTTGCTCACTAGGAGGAGATATCTTCTGATGAATCAGGTTTGAATTCTGAAAGAAAAGTGTTATTTTACATTTGCTGAAAAGTAACATGAATCACTGACATGCTAAAACACTTGGAAAGTCATTAAAAACGCTTAATTGTTCCATTCTGTTTTAAAACTTTTGAATTGTTCTTGTTTTATAAGTGGTCAAATGTATTAAATCTGCAAATACATAGAAAGGGAATTCTGGAGTTTGAAAACATTTAAAGTAGTATGCAGAATGGGAACTGGGAATGGTGAAAGAGAAACCACATTGAGAAGCAATAGTCAGGAGAGGGAGAAAAGAAAGTGGGAAAAGAGCAGCCTGCAAGCCAATGCAAAGGGGCAGAACAGCTGCACTACCACTCTACCACTACAGGGGGAGCAGAACAGGCCAGGTTTTGAAATACAACGGGAATGGATGCTTACTTCAATTAGAAAATTACCTGTATGTACAATAAAAAACCACACGAAAGATCTTGTGCTCAAAATCAACGAGTATTATATCTTAGTATTTATTTCTATATCTACACTTTAATACTCTGTGATACATGATAATTCGGGGGTTTCTCAAATTATTAAGAAAAACTCAAGGAAGCCCATTTGTTTCTAAAAAGAGTATGTGATTAAGAGGAAAAAATTCACTTTCAATAACATTCTAAAAGTTTTTGTTAAAGAATATCAAGAGATAAATATGGAATGTCCTGTTTTCTTACCCATGAATCACTATCCTAATTTTCTTTATATATTCTGCTTACAATCCTAGTTAAAGATCCTTTTTCTTTGTTCTACTGGTTGCCACATTCATGTTGTCTATGACAGCACCGCCAATTTTTCATTTGTTTAGCATACTAACTAATTTAATAATATCATGACCATGGTTATTACCATTAAATAAATTTTGTTAACATAAAATCATTCTTAAAAACAGATTCAGGCAACGAACTTAAATTTAGACATTCTTATTGCTATCACTTTTATATTTACAATATTAATGTTCTGAAATTACTTTTGAGATACATAAATACACATAAAGATACAGACTTAAAAAATAATTGGTGGTAAAACTAAAAACTGAATCCAGAAGGAAACAATGTCTAATATTACCAAAAAATTATTTAGAATTAATTACTTAACCAGCACATGCAATAAATAACATTTAACATATCTCCATCATAAATCAACTAAGCAATAAAACTCACATAAAATTTGAATTAAAGAACTCCTGTAATTCTTAATACTAAAACAGGTTTCCTGGAAGTGAATACGGTGCATGTGGCATTTAAATATTTATCAAACTTATACTAAGCAAGATTAGCAAATAATAATTTCATTTATTTCAAAGTAGATTTTGTGGATTTCAATCCATTCTATTAGATTGATATGACAAATATGCACTGTCACTTTATGGAATAAAACACCCAAACTTATCTCATTCAAGCAAGATTCCATTTATCTACAATCCAAGAAAATAGAAAGCTGAATGTACTGAATATTTTAAATGGTTGATTTAGGAAAGTAACTATTAAGAATACTTAAAATTCAACCAGAGTTCCAGTAAGTACTATGGTCTAGAGATGTGCAGGAAGCGTAAAATGCACATTGAATTTCAAAGGCAATATGTAAAAAGGATATAAAATATCATATTCATAATTTTTATACTAATCATATTAAAATGCTAATATTGTGGCTAAATCAGTTTAAATAAAATTATCTTCACCTCTTCCTCTGTACTCATTAGAGTGTGGCTATTGGAAAACTTAAAATTACATACATAGCTCTCATCTGCTCCGCTGGAACCTGAGAGATCATAAGGCAGAGAATAGCTGCAGTCATTGTGCAACAATCAAGAGAAGCTGGCTGGAAAATGATACTAACACAAAGAAGAACAGGGTGTGGTGTATACAATATAAGCAGATATGGAACAAGTATATCATAATTATTCAATGAAGCATGATCATATATGACCTAGTTTCAGTGCATCAGATATTTCAGAATATATATAAGTTTACAGTCAGCATATAATAAATATATTTTATGTATTTGAGTATGTACACACCCACACATGCACACACACACACACACACACACACACACAGGGGGACCAAAAAAAGACCCCAGAATTTATTTATAAAAAACTGTGTATTTCTTCTTATATGTTTCAACTTCAGTTGCCTTCAAAGTACTCTATGTTCGATGCAATATACTTATCAAGACGCTTTTTCCACTGCTCAAAACTGTTTTTTAAATCATCAGTTTTGATGCCTTTTTTGTACTTTGCCATTTTTTTGTTTCACTGCTTCCACAATGGCGAAACGTTTCCCCTTGAGGAATTTTTTATCCGGGGAACCAAAAATGCCTCTCATGGTGAGATCAAGTGAATAGTGAATGTGGGGGGATTGGGGTCATGTTGTTTTTGGTTAAAAACTGCTGAACATCCAGCACAGTGTAGGTGGACTATTCATGTAAATCACCCATCATGAAATAGGTGAACATGTTGAAAAGTCTCCAAAAACAAATTCACTGAAGTCGAATGCAGCCTCTCACAACAACGCTAGCTGGTACACTGATTCCGATGGGTTCCTATAACACTTACCGAGCTGGGAAGGCCTGTACTGCTAGGGGCTCATACTCCCAAAAAATAATTCCAGGGTTTATTTTGCACCCCCCCTCATATATCTATGTATGTGTGTGTGGGTGTGTGTATATATATATTCATATATTCCCCTACCCACACACACACACTACTGGGTCCTCATGACAACCTTCCAAGTTCCTTGTAACAAGCTGTATCAGTAACTAGTCTAATACCCTTTCAGTTATCTAAACCATCAATTCCCCCTTTTTTGAATAAATCAGTCAGAGTGGAGTTTTCCAGTCACTTGCACTCCAAAGAGTCTGAATTGATAAATTTCTTTCTATTATTATTATTATTATTATTTTTTGAGTTAGAGTCTCACTCTGTTGCCCAGGCTGGAGTGCAATGTCACGCAGGCTCACGGCCACCCCAGCATCTACCTGCTGGGCTCCAGCAATCCTTCCACCTCAGCCTTCCAAGTAGCCGGAACTACAGGGGTGCACTACCACGCCCAGATAATTTTTTTCATTTATTGCAGATACGAGGTTTTGCCAAGTTGCCCAGACTGGTCTCAAACCCGCGGGCTCAGGCAATCTACTCGCCTCGGTCTCCCAAAGTGCTAGTATTACAGGCTGAGCCACCAGGCCCTGCCGATAAATTTCAATGGACAACTTTCCCAGCATTCCTATCAGAAGGTTAACATTTGATATGTCTGCGTAAATCACATCTCTCAAAAAACAGGTTTCTAACAAGACTGGAGAAAGAAGAAAGCTGGGAAGGGAAGCAAATAGAAAGAAGAGGAAATAGCACTATGAATTTGGTGAATACAAAGAGGCGAAAGGTGATAGAATTTCTGGCTACCCATCCCACAGGATAGCTGGTTGACTTACTGTTCCCAAAGCCAGCTGTTAGTGGACAGACAGGGCTTAGCTTTCTAAACCCTTTACACCTGGTAGCAACTGCAGTCATCCTTCAATGTCCAGACAGGAGATTGGACCCCCCCCATACCAAAATCCGTGGATGCTCAAGAATCTTATATGAAATAGCACAGTACAGTATTTGCACATAATCTATGCACATAATCCCGTATACTTTCAATTGTCTTTTGGTTACTTATCATACCTAACACAATATAAATGCTAAGTAAGTAGCTGTTATACTATATTGTGCCTTTTATTTGTATTACTTTTTATTGCTTTTTTTCCAGAATATTTTTAATCCACGATTGGTTGAATTCACAGATGTGGAACCCAGAGACAGAAAACCGACCGTATTCCTTTTCATACCAAATTGTCAGGTGAACCAAAGGAAACAAAAGCAGTCATGTTTTAGTTGCAATTCAGTTTAGTCGCAATTAAAAATATATCACTTGAGTTATCACACACCAGAACAAGTGTGAGATAATTACCCAACGACTTGTTTCAAACAGAAGTGTAGAAGAGGTTAAAACAAAAAAGGCCAAAAACGCAGGAAGCTAGTAGAGCGAGTGAAGCCAAGCACAAAGAGAAGGGGGCATTCTGAAAGCCCTGATACACAGAGCTCATGCTGTCAGCTATTACACATTTCTGAAAGGAAACCCGAGAGCATTAACACAAAAAAGCTTTTGTCTGAATTACAAATTATTTGCTGATTTCATATGCCTTGAGAATTTCACAGCTTCTATCTATAATCCTATACTGTTAATAAACACCAAACCCAGTAGCTACGCCTAGAGAGACAGGTTCAGGACTGGCAGACATTGTCAAGAGGACCTTTAAATTTGTCTGGATTCCTTGGTTTTATCTAGCAATACACTATCCATGTATAATCTGAGTATATAAAACAAAATGGCAGTTTTGGAAACCAGGCTATTAACAGAAAAGATGGCACATTAATAAAACTATTTTTTATTTTTAGGAAAGAATCTTTAATAGTTTATCTGCTCCATGACTTGGACAGAGGAACGATTCTGCTCTGTGAAGTATCAAGAAAAGAGGTAACCTAGCAGAATGACAGAGTAGCAACACAACGTCACATCAGGAGGCCTAACAGGGATCATGATATTTGGGGAGAAGAATGGCTCACATCCATGGAGCACTGACTGTGAGCCAGGCACATCATGCATTTTATACAAAATAACTTTGTTTCATTTTAACAGTTTCTGGAATAAAAAAAAAAGAGTGAGAGAGAAGGGTAGATTATGAAGAATGACACAGAATGTCATCGAATTGAGATTTTTGTACCTGTTTAGAGGAAGCAATAGGATATTTTGTTCAAAATTGGCCTAAACTGAATCGTTTATATTTTCTTCCATACCCTCCTAATAACCAGATGATGTATATTTATTTTTATGACAATGGAATGCTTTTTGTTGTGCTTCATGTACATGACTTACTCTTAGAAAGGCAGTAAGCAGCACAAAATACTTTTGTGTGTGAGAGAAAATGTGTGTGTTTTAAAGTTTTAGAAGA